AAGGTTCAAACCTCAAATTACCGATCTATCTTTATACCGTTCAAAGTAAATTTGATAAATCGGATAAACAGAGTAAAATTTAATGAAAGTACAACGTTTCACCAGGTTAACCTGGCATCATCATCAGGTACATCAACTGATGATGCCAACTTAACATGGTGAAACGTTGTACTTTCATTAAATTTTACTCTGTTTATCCGATTTATCAAATTTACTTTGAACGGTATAAAGATAGATCGGTAATTTGAGGTTTGAACCTTTTAGGTGAAGTCTACTTGTTGTTAAACTTAAAATAAACCGATTAGGTAACGTAAATATACAAGTATAAGTATGTTTAAATAAATGCAGAATACCTCTCAAGTTAATTAATATAATATCACCCTCGTTGGTAATTAAAATCTAGGTCTACAAGGGATCGAACTTAGTTAATAATGGCGGTGGACCAGCACTTTTGTTTGTTTGTTGAATTCTCGCGCAAAGTTATTCGAAGACCGTCTGCACTAACCATCCATAAGATAGAAGTGATAGACTCCTGGGCTATTTTTTGTGGGAGTGACTGTTCTATCATAACGCTTCCTTGACTGAAATGGCAAGCACATTCGGTGAAGGGTTTCGGTCCCGCGTCCCGCAGAATGTGACTCGAGGGCCTTAACCGCTATACACGTACAAGTTTGTTTAAATTAATGTAGAGCAACACAAACGTTTATTGCTATACTCTGTTTCCTGTTCAAGCTAGAGAAATGTTTCTTCATGTATGAAACATTGCTAGTTATGTACATGAGACACGTTAATTAAAATGTCAAATGATATCTAACGATGACCAGTGTAAATAAGCATATATCTCACAGATATGCTGCTACAACGTAGACTTTAAATAAGCATACATCTCACAGATATTCTGCCACAACGTAGACTTTAAATAAACTAACATCTCACAGGTATGCTGCTACAGCGTTGACTTTGGTTCAAAGAACGTCGTCACTTTAAGTTTTCGTTACGTCATATATTAATTAAATTATACATAATATTTATAATGAATCATAACTTAAAATAACAAGGCCGCTTACATTTAATGTTTTCTTTCTCTCTCTCTTCAGATGTAAGAAGCTCAGAAGATTACAACCTCTTCAGGTAAGCGTGATTATTCGAATTACTGATATTAAACGATCTTAAACATGACCAATAGTTAAAATGGTTACGTTACCATCGAAGAATGTTAAACAGTAATTCAGCAATTTTGTTCTTTATTACACCATAAACATTAAATATTTTCTATTGATCACAAAAGTTATCGAATTGTGTTGAGGTGTTTGTTAGTTCAGATTCTGTGAACGTTTTTCTTTTTTAACCGGTACACTTTTTTTTTCTGTAGTTTTAGTGTTAAAAAAATGTATACGTTTTATTTCTTCAAAAGATTTCCCTTTAGTTATGGAAACATTGTGACTATTAAACTACTGTATATAAACTATTTCACTTTGTCATTTTTTAAATTGATTTAATATTTAATATTTTATTAAAATTCACGTTCATCTTGTTTTTGTATTGGGTGAAATGATGAGAAACTTTCATCTTCAAGAAAAAAGAATTAAGGCAAAAATTAACGTTTAACAATAAATCAACCCTCTTTTCTCCTCCCATCTCTTTTCCAACTCGCCTCTTCTCATACCTTTGCCTAACTCACTTTTTTTTCTCTTCCCATCTCTTGATTAGATCATTGATTCTTCTACCACCCTTTGTTTAACTCACATCTTCTCATACCACCCTTTGTTTAACTCACATCTTCTCATACTACTCTTTGTTTAACTCACCTTTTTATCATACCATCCATTGTTTAACTCACATCTCATACCAGTTTCGCTCTTGTCATCCTAAGTGTAAACCATTTTCTTCCTTGTCATCCTAAGTATAAACCACTTTCTCTCTTATCATCCTTAGTATAAACTAGTTTCTCTATTTTCATCCTCAGTATTAACCACTTTTCTTTTGTCATCCTAAGTGTAAACCATTTTCTTCCTTGTCATCCTAAGTATAAACCACTTTCTCTCTTATCATCCTTAGTATAAACCAGTTTCTCTATTGTCATCCTCAGTATTAACCACTTTTCTTTGTCATCCTAAGTATAAACCAGTTTTTCTCTTATCATCCTTAGTATAAACCACATTCTCTCTTGCCATCCTAAGTATAAACCACTTTCTGTCTTGGCATCCTCAGTATTAACCACTTTCTCTCTTGGCATCCTTAGTATAAACCAGTTTCTCTATTATCATCCTTAGTATAAACCACTTTCTCCCTTGTCATCCTAACTATAAACCACTTTCTCCCTTGTCATCCTAACTATAAACCACTTTCTCTATTGGCATCCTTAGTATAAACCACTTTCTCTCTTGGTATCCTTTATTCCAACTCACCTTAATTTAATCATTTTTTGTTTTGTTTGTTTATTATATCCTTCACACCACTATACAAGCAATGTAATTATCAGCAGAGTGTACTCGCTGTTATAGATACATTTAAGCTTATGTTTGTGTGAAAGAAAATCTGCATGCTTGTGAAACTAAAAGTTTCTTGTTAAACTGATATATTATCTTCCAAACCAGGGTGTGTTTGTCTGAAAGCACACATCGGAGAAGCTAATATATTATCTTTCGCATCATCGTGTGCTTATCTGAAAAGTACATATCGGAAGAGCTAACATGTTATCTTACACATCATCGTGTGAGTGTCTGAATAAACACACTGGAAGAGATAATGGCCTGTTAGCCTTTGTATAAGAACCCACTTCTGTATTCTCTAAAGGGTCACGCACAGCGTCCTACTCAAGTGTAGGATGTTGATATTGGGCCAAGTCGTCGACTAACTAATTCTGGCTCGTTTTGCTCTCAGGCTGTCGGAACAAGCTTTGAATTCCCTGGCGTTTTTCCGACGGTTGGGTTGAAACACTGGATGTGTCTAGGCAACATGCAGAATAAAATGTACGTCGTTAAAAAACAGAGAAAAAATAATACATCGAAGCACAAGTTCGTTTTTTTAATACATTCAAACACGTATTCGTTTTTTTCTTCTTTTTTTTTTTGAATAAGCAAGATACACAGTCTCTCTTTTTTTAAACAATAAATTTCGACGTACATTCGCATTTTTGGATAAATTCAGACGCACATGCGCCTTTTTTTTTCTTTTCAGGAGTCCAGTATGATCGTTTCTCGGGAAATTTAGCTTTTCGTGTGTGTATGCGTGTGTTTTTACTTCGCAAATTCTTTAATCTTAGTATAACTATAAAGTTTAAAATATATGGTTTTAATTAAAGTGTAGCATAAGTTGTTGTTGTTTTCAATTATGCACAAAGCTACACAAGGGCTATCTGTGCTCTGCCCACCACGGGTATCGAAACTCGGTTTCTAGCGTTGTAAGTCCGCAGACATACCGCTGTGCCACTGGGGGGCGTGTAGCATAAGAAGTAGGGGAAAACGTGGCGCAGGATATAAACAATAAACAGAAGAACGCTCTAGGTTTAACGAGTTACAGGAAACCTGATTTATTGTCTCCAGAAGTTTAATTTATCTTTCCCGTTACTTGTTGTTTACACAAGTAAATATTTTAATGTTTGGGTTAAAGATAGGGGTGTCACATCTAGTCTCGTGTTGTTACAAAGAATAACGGGAAAGTTAGGTATATGTTTAGTTACTTCTTCGGAAAAATCTGTCTTAAGTCTCCCACCACTTGGTGCCCATTCTTAAGTTCTAAATAGCTATAAAACCAGCTTAACTGACAATTGAACCAGATTAAATACTGCCGAACTTGCATAAAGTCATGTTTAAAATAGGTTTTGTCTCAAATACCACAGCGATGTACGAAAGAGTAGGTCTGTGTGGTAATCATGACTGAAAAAAAAAGAAACCTTGTTTGTGACGTTACATTTCTGAGAAATGTCCGGAAAGAAATAATAAAGTTGGAGTAATAAACTTTTCGATTTCTTGAAAAAGAAATAATTATATCCTAACCAGTTCCTGGCGCCCACACTTTTTAAGAGAGAATGTTTTTTAAGCTATAATTTGACATATTTGGTAAAGCACAAGAAAGCAAAACAAATCATGCATATGTTAATTGATGGCTGCCATGTTGCTGATAAGGAAAAGAATTTACTTACGTATTATTTAAAAGTATGCTTTATGGATGAGTCATTATTGTAACGTTATATTAAAAAGAGAACAGTGCATGTGTGCTTGTAATACGCATGTACTGACACATGCCATATTATAACTTGGCTTAGGTACAAGCTAAAACGTACATACTGTAATAAATTTACGCTGTCATTTTTTGCCTTGGAGTTGGAGTTAATACACTGCAGATGAAGTCAGTGTTATTGTCTATTGTGCGTATATTAATAAACTCTATACAAAGCTCGTTAACTACAATTGTGAATGGTGGCTCTGTAGTTGCTTCTATGATGCCTTAAAATTTAATCAGAGATTATACTGTTGCGACGCCATTTTTAACTATATCTGAACAGGTCAGCTTGCGGAAGAGGTCTTGTCTTTTAACAGATATTTGTGATGTAAGCACTAATGATTATTCACTATGTATTCAAAATAAAATAATGCAATATTTTTGTGTAAGCAATCAAATTTTGCCGTTTGAAAATTTGCTTTTTATATTCAATAATTTGGTAATTATTATTATAAAGTGAATGTCAAGAAATAATCTATTCATCAACCCACATGCCATAAAATTACTTATTAACTTTCTTTTAACTAAAATTAAATCAAACAAACTAGCAATTAAATAAATATATAAAGGAGTATTACTGTGAGCTTAATTGAAAACAAAACAAAAAGGATAATCAAGTCATATACACAGCAAAATTATAATTCTACTATATACTAAAATCATTTCTTTTGGAACTAAAAACTAGTAGTGATCCACATTTATTTATTTTTTACTCTTTTACGTCCCTGGTGGTTCGTCCATTTATTTCAAAGTTTAGTATTATTTACTTCTTTATTATTTTTTTTTATCTCGATACTTAGTCTGACAGTTAAGAAATTTTCTTTTTTCAGAGACGTAAAACACACAACTTCGCAAAAATAAGCCGATTTTTACCATTGACGGAACAGTCTGCCAACACCGTCATTGAATAGTTTAATGATTTAAAAGTCTGAGGTATTATAACGCTAAAAATCGGGTTTGTATACCCGCGGTGAGCACAGTACAGATTGCTCATTGTGTAGCTTTGTGCTTAACCACAAACAAAAAAATGAGATTCGTCAAATTATTTGACGAATACAACCTAGTTAAGCTTCACTTTGTGGAAATATCAACTCTTTTTCAGTATTTGGTACTGGGGTTTTTATCTACTTCAGGTTTACGTTTTCAGCATATGATGTTGATCAAATCTTGCTTCAGTATAATGAATAAGAATTGTCCACTTGTATTGTTAATAGCATTTTGATCATAAACATTCTTGGTGGTAAGTAATTAATTGCTGGTTCTATAGTTTCTCCGAACCTCAGTACAACATTTAACTTGGTTTTCAAGGAGACCATTAAAACTGTGATTTGCTACACCATATATAGCTGGGAACGCGCTCGAGCCCGCAGTGAGATCACGTGACGACATATTCTAAAGTGCGGGCAGCTTGTCACAGAAAGCTCCAATCTCTTACACCACTGAAAATAACAGTCTATAAATATCTAACCCTGCACGCTTACAGCTATCCAAAATTTTCCTTTATAACAAAGATACAGCTAGTATCTAATTTCAACATTAGAAAATTCCAAAACGTGTTTGACATACGTTCATAGACGCAGTTTTTCTATATATTTTAAATACAGGTTTCAATAAACCATCAAAAGGTGTACGAAATTGAATGTAAAAATATTAATTCTTTCACTTTTAACAACACACAAAATGGAGGATTTATACATTGCCCTCTGCAGGTTCATAAGATCAACAAGATTATTATTTGATTTGATAATTTTTATTGTTATTTTAGATAGCTTTTGGGTTGGCCAATGTTTATATTGAACGGATAAACAATCTATTATTGTAACTTAAGTAAAAATCTAGATTTATTACAATTAAAGTATAAGAATATTTTAAAATAGAAATCAGAATGACATGCAGATTTGAATATTAAGTGTAACATTATTATATCTTAAAAGAAGTCATTATTTCATAGCAATAGCTTCTGTTTGTTTTTAAGCACAGAGTTACACAACGGGCTATCCTTGCTATATCCATCACGGGTATCGAAACCCGGTTTTAGCGTTATAAGCCTACTAGCTTATAGTTGATCCACTAGGGAACTCTCTTAGCAACAAAGACGTAGTTGAAATACTAATAAAAATATAATTCTAAATGTAAAAACATTGTCTTAAGAATGGTCTTTATTATTTTTCTCTCCACAGCAATGATGTTTGAATTTTTGTTTATTTTCGCTTTCAAGTCAAGAGAAGCCCATCATGCCACCTGGAGGAAGTAACTAGTAACTTCATGTGACAGAAGATAGAACTTGTTTTAGAAAGAAATGCAAGATAATCTGAGAAGAACAACTGTCTGTATCAAATTAAAAACAGTATAATTACTTAACGTAGAGTGTTGGTTCCTCTAAAAGTCAAAGTTAGTAGGTTGGCTTGAGTGCCTCTATACTCAAAGTAAACACCAGCCAGTAAAACTTCAAATGTTCTATTTATTTTCCTTTGTCTAGTTCATTTAAGTGGCTTCTATATATATTTAAGAAGGTAAATGAATATTATGTAACAAAAGACGTAGTTGCTGCACGTTTTAAAAGATATTTGCATCTATTTTTCTACGAATACTTACTTCCTATGACATTTTAAAATCTTTGCTCGACTACTTCTTAGCATCACAAATTTTAGCTTAAATCAAGATCGAAGTTCACAAACTCTTTATCTGAGTAGCAATATAATCTGTAAAGTTAAGCCTGAGTTATGATCTAAAGATAATCAGGAACTGTACGTAATATAACATGTATAGCTAAAGGAAAATCCGAGTTATGATTTTGAGATAATCATAAACTGTACGTATACCTTTGAAATTTTCTTCCAAAGGTTTGATGGGTTTCTTGCAGATAGAGATGATTTTGAGATATTTTTTTCTAAAACAATGTGGTCACCACATTTAAATCGTTGTGTACATATATCTACGTGTGATTTAAAATAAAAAAAGGTTTTTGTGTAGTTATTCTCTCACGTGATTGTTGTATTTTATCTTTAATGTTTGGTTTGTTGAAATTAGTCATAGTTATTTTGTCAGCATGATCAGTTTTCATATATTTACAAATATTAAATTTTTGAGGTTCTTTCATGCTTATGTATTAGACGTCGTTTTGTTATTGTAACAGCTTTTCTTCCAAACTAATTACATCATTTATTTCAGTGTAAATTTCTCAAAAACTTGAATGAGTTTTTACTCTCTTCATCATTATCTATCCACTTCACGTAATCACTGTCGTGTTCCTATTAATGTGAAAAACTTTAAAACTAAGATAGGGAGAGGTTTTATCACCGTTGTAAGAAAAATATATAATAAAGTTTTATTATGAACTTTAACCGTTTCTTCTCATTCATTTTCAACCAAACACAAATCACAATGTCTTATATTATAATTTTTTGTAGTAAGCTAAAAAGGTGTTGACATATAAACATTTAACCATTGTATGTTGGTAGCAAACTCCCTTACTAAAGTTACTTTTTCTGCAACATAATAAAATAAAAATTATGCAAGGTGTTGCAAACAAATATGAAACTTTTGTCTGTAGCTGCATCAAGACTTGCATATATTAATTTCTAATTATATGTAATGTATCCTCAAAACTAGAAGGTATTTTTTTTACAGACAAATATGAAACTTTTGTCTGTAGCTGCATCAAGACTTGCATATATTAATTTCTAATTATATGTAATGTATCCTCAAAACTAGA